CCCGTTCCCACAATGGCGCCAGCCCCCGCACCCCTCCTCCGGCCAGCCATCCCCGGCGCTCGCCCCGGTGGTCGGGGCCCCCCACGTCTTGGCCTTGCGATCCCCCCGTCTCTAAGTGTTAAGCCCGTTGGTAATCCCGGCGCTCCTCCGGCGCGTGCGGCGCCACCACAACTCAAACTCGCTACCCCCATGGGTAGCACCACAATACCACATGAGCAGCCTGCCGGACGACCAGGCGCCCAAGGCTATAGCGCTAGCGGTGCCAGCGATAGCAGTGCGGCGCATAGCAGGAGTGGCAGCTTTGGTCCCGAGAGCAACCCTACCAGCGCCGACACCCGGTATAGTAATGTTTCGTTTATCGGCGCCCAAAGGCCACACGGCACACCAGACCCTGTCTCTGCAGTGGGTTCTCTTTACTCCAATGCCAGCGAGGGAGGTGTGGGTATGGAACGAGAAAACAGTCTGCATGGATTGGAAGCATTCGACAAGCTTACACTGGAGAAAGCAAGGACACTAGATGTCGAAGAGCTTGATGACGATGGCTGGAGGATCGCCATGATGGAGAAGAGAGTCGAGGAGTTGGGACCCCTAGGCGAGGGTGCGGGAGGTGCGGTAACTAAAGCCAGGTTGAAGGGCGGCAAGACCGTATTTGCGCTCAAGGTATGGCACTCCAGCTTGAGATCTGATCCCATGATTTTGCTCGAATCCCTGCTGACGACTCTCTGATTAGATCATCACAGCAAACCCCGACAAGGACGTTGCCAAGCAAATTGTCCGTGAACTAGGGTTCAACAAGCAGTGCGCCTCCGAGCACATCTGTCGGTACTTTGGCGCCGTTGTTGACACCCAATCCGCGACCATCTCCATTGCCATGGAGTATTGCGAAGGTGGTTCTCTTGACAGTGTCTATAAAGAAGTCAAGAAGCTTGGCGGGCGTACAGGAGAAAGGGTCTTGGGCAAAATTGCCGAGGGCGTTCTACACGGATTGACATATCTCCACAGCAAGAAGATCATCCACCGTGACATCAAGCCTAGCAACATCCTCCTTTGTCGCAACGGCGAGGTCAAGCTTTGCGATTTCGGTGTCTCGGGCGATTATGGCACGAACGGCGCGGCCAACACATTCATCGGTACCAGTTATTACATGGCGCCTGAGCGAATCACAGGCCAGTCATATACCATCACCTCGGACGTTTGGTCTTTGGGTGTTACCCTGCTCGAGGTTGCACAGCACCGATTCCCCTTCCCCGCCGATGGTACCGACTCACAACCCCGTGCCGGTCTCATTGACCTGTTGACGTACATCGTCCGTCAGCCTGTGCCGAAGCTGAAGGATGAGCCTGATGCGAACATCTTCTGGACTGACAAGTTCAAGTACTTCATTGACTGCTGGTATGTGCACCCACTTCGTTTTTTTTTTTTTTTTTTCGTCTTTTGTCCAGCAAGCTAACCAGGATAATTGTGTAGCTTGGAGAAGGATCCCAACCGCAGAGCGAGCCCTTGGCGTATGCTCGACCACCCCTGGATGTTGGAAATACGGTCAAGGCGTGTGAACGTGGCCCGTTTCCTGGCCACGGTGTGGGGCTGGGAGGATGGGAAGGAAGAGGCATAGTGTGTCTGCGGTGGGAATAATCGATCGAAATTGGCGAGTTCAGTTCATGGGCCACGAAATCTCTGCAAATGCCGGAAGCACAAGAGTCGTGTACCGGAAGACATTGGGGTCGCTTCTTCGGTTAAGGATGCCGGGCCTGGTGTCTTCGATTTTGAAGAGGATGAGAACTTTGGCAAAAGCGAGTCGACCTGTGTTTGACAGCTTTTGGATATATAAATATGAATGAACCTCATGATAAGGACTGGATAAGGATTCGTATATGCACCGTGTATGCTTGGGTTTCGCGAGGCTCGCACATCTTAATGGTACCTGTGGCTAGCGAACAACAAACGGAACCGATTTGAACAAGAGACCTCTTCGAAAGGCGAACTGACAATACAGTAGCACTCATGACATCCACGCCCGCCTCAGGATCGGTTTCCGAAAGACGCGTAGGCACACCAAATACCCCAAGTCTGCACAATCCCAGCCCCTCTCTGACCCTTTCATCTCATCTCTATAGCCATTAGGGGTACATAGTCCACCTTACCAGCGGCCTCTTCCGTGGTCCGCTGGTACATCCGGGAGTAATGAGGGAGAGCTCTTCGTGAGCTGTTACCAAGTAAACCGGAAGTTGCCGGTTCGAGTCCAGTGCGGAACACTTTTTTTCTTTTTCTTTCCTCTCCTCGTTCTCATGTTTTGGGTGAGATTTTTCGAAATATGCCATGCTGGTTGCAGTTGTGTGAAATGGGAATGACATCTTCTGGTACAGTTTGACGACCCCCTTGATATCAACCCTAACCCTTGGTTGACATGAAATTGGAACTGAATGATGGAAGGTGTGGAACGACGACGGTCGACTATGGCAGGTAGGGATAGCTTGAAAGTTACAAACTCTGTACGAAATCTGCAGGTGACATCCGGTTTGTGATTCAAACGAGGTGCCCCATTCGCGATTGGTGAGTGTTGGATGAACATAGATTTGGCGATCTTTGTATGCATATAGCATATAAGTCAAAGCAGTTTCGAGGATTACATAGAGGACTAATGACCGTGCAGGTAGAATCGGGACGGAGCGGGTCTGAAGGCACTGGTGCCGGTTCCAGTATCTTTTTGTTGGTGATGCGGTACCCTTGTTGGTAGGCGGGCGATTATGTGAATTGCGACAAGTTTTTGCGGTTGTCATAGTCGGCAAACCTATGATGTACGCCCTGAGTCTTATCCGTTCCACTGCCAACATAAACGAGGGGCGTAGCGTTTGCTTTTTCGACGATCAAGAGGTATAGGGAGAAAGTACCTAGGTTCGTCCTGACGGGAATACACAGGGTAGGTTAACTTGAGAAGGGACCATGTAAGGAACGGAGCGGACGGTTATGATGGAATTACCTCCACATATCTGTGCACTATGAGTACTTCTGTAGCTGAATATCAGGAAAGAAGGACTGCAGGAATATACCTGCCCAGGTGCCCGTTTTATTGCATTGTAGTGGCAGGCACTGTGCATATCACGGGCGGTCTGAGCAGCGTAAGTGGTCCGGCCCTACCACCGCAGGGCATTTTTCACGAGCTCTTACAAAAGGGTCCTTCTCTCCCCATTCAACTTTTGGTATTCTTTCACTCTTTTCTTGACACATACCTATATCATCTCGACAGCGAAGAAAGTCCACCAGACATAAAGGATTCTTCAGTCATAGTCTAGGGTACCTGCTTGGCTTCTAGCTGGCCACTTTCTCATCACTTGCTTGGTTACCTATTTCAACGCTCAGAAAGGGCACAAGCGTCGTCCGCGGCGCCTACAACAACCACCACGACGGGAACGTCGTCCACCTTGGCTGCATCGGCTGTAGCAACATGTTCCGCCATCATCGCCGCCGCACAGCTAAACGAGCGAGGCTGCGAGGCCCTTTTGGAGTACGTGAACTCCTATCATCCGCTGGGGCCCCTCTGCCTGGATTGAAGGGCTAGAACAACTTGCGTCGTTCCACCGGCTGTGAAAGACAACAACTGTCCAATGTGACACCTCAAATGTCCAACTTCACAGTTGGGTCCCAGCCTTCATTGGTTGGTGTTTACTTGGGATTCTCTGGTTCTGGCACCGGGCGGAGAATGTCTGGATTCATTGCAACGGAACAATTGACAATCTCGCCGAAGTCCCTCCCCCATTACCCGACGCACCCGAATCACTACGATCTATGTGGCCTCAACTTTTGTTGTCGCAGTATGGCCTCTGGAGATAATCTGTAACATTGTTTGGCAACACATCCTCACATCCAAAAAAAAAGAAAACCACATATCAAGCGAATGATAGCAGCCTGTGGAGCGCCGCAAAGGAACGGCGGATACCGTGACGTGGGACAATGAAACCGACACTGAAGAAAACGAAACGGACAACAACTGTATTGTTCGAGACGGTGACTGATACAACGACGACAAAACAGATGGGATGGAGAGGAGGATAGGATAAATGAGGGAACCTTTTTATTCCTCATCCGATGAACATACTCATTCGATAATGGCGGGGAAATCGACATAAAGCAGACCACGACAGGCTGTGGGAAGACTGGGTTTTTCAACATACGGTTTCCATACCAAGAGAACAAAAAAAGGCAGAAAAGGGGGGGGTTTATTCTTTATTACTCGGACAGAACTCTGACCTTTTTCACTAACTCGGGGGACTATATGACTGTGCAGCTGTATGACGGCTAAACGGACTTGTATCAACAAACATGGGCGAGTTCCTAGATAACTTTTCCCTCATGCAATCCAGAGTCGTGCAGTCAAGACGGTTTTGCCGGGAGTGGAGTTTCACCTGGGCAGCGACGCATCGAACACCGGCACCGGAGCGGTACTAGTGCTTTATGACAGAAAAACCGACTGACCAAATGGTCCGGCAGGGTTCGCAGAGAAACTGCCACATGATACGTTAACCGACAAGTTAGGTTTGCCCATGACTTGTCCATGGCCTCATACAAATCTACCCTGTGATGGGCTTTGTACGCCTGCGGCTTTTCTCGAGGGTGTCAATCTCGGTAACAATAACCCAGACTCAGCTGGAATGACGGAGGATACATCCCCCTCTCGGGAAGTAGTCAGTCAGGTCTTCGTGATCCGGCACGCCGGGGATTAAATACGCATCGCAGTTGCATTGCAGAATGCTGGTAGTTCTCTGACTAATGTATTTCGATCAAGTTTAAGGTAGGTAGTCGCGCCTACAAGGCCGTGCTCACACCCAGTCACATACAAATACAAGCCTTTGTGAGTCCAAGTAAACTCATCCTCTTTTTTTTCTTTCCATCACAACACTGCATGGATTTCCAAAGACCACCCCCAGTACCATCCAAAGTCACCTATCTCCCAAAACACACAAACACCCCTACATCTCGAACCAACAACCACGCAAGAAGCAAGAATGACACTCATCGGTAGAGGTGAGGACTCCCATTTCCCCAAGCCTACAATCCCTACCGCCATCACGCCGGCTAGATCCCAGTCTCACTCATACCTATCCGTGAACAGGCGGCCAAGAGCACTCCTACTTCTACGTCCAAATCAACCATACCACCGCAACCCCCAAAAAGGGAAACTGCGACGGCGCCCTCAGCGGCTCGAACTACAAAGAGCACGACAACGAGCACGAGGACAACACATCGGCTGCGTCCTCCTCGACCGGTGCATTTCTAGACCAAGTGTGCGACGCCCTTTTGGGGTTAGCTGAGGAACCTCTTCCCAAGTTGGAGGCTACCTAAACGAGCGGCGGATGAGTACTGTGAGAGGGGTGTGCAGGCTCATGTAGGTATGTAGCCCTACGTAAGTTTCTCTTCATGTTCGGCCAAGGCGTTGACTGATATTGCTAGCATCGATGCAGTCAGATCATTTTATCAGCACTATCCTCGAGAGGGGAGACGCTTAACAACATTGCCCGCTTGAAATATAGTTGCCCCATATACAGACTCTTTAGCTGCCTCTTCCAATCTCGCTGGTTACAGCTTCACTGGCACTGGATAACGAGTTGTTATAGGCTACACTAGCTTCGACATTGGATCTACTACAGATATACATTTTACATTCATTGAACCTAATAGGACAAGTCGAGCGATTGACTTAATTACAATGGGGCGCACCACCTAAACAAATAATCCCTGTAGACACGAGACACATATATGTAATTCGAGTGCTGGAGATGGACAGTCAATTCGAGGGGAAAATATACAAAATAATGCTCCCAAAGCCAAGCTGCTTGTATAACATATCTATCCTCGCCAACCAGGGCGATCTCAAGACGGGGGTTAATTTTGGGTTGGATCTGGCAGGCTTTTTCAAACACAACACTACCTATCTTTGGGCATCTGAGAGTCGGGACAGAGGGTACATATACCTAGCCAGTCAATCATCAATTCACTGCTGGACAACAATATGAACACAACATCTGCTCTCTGGTAAAATCTTCAGGTTCATTGATATTATGAATCTGTATGACAGATGCGTCACCCGTGAAAGGAGTGGCTATCGCCTTATTTGGAATGTGGGAAAAAAAAAAAAAAAAAAAAAAAAAAAGAAAAAAAAAAAAAAAAAAAAAAGGAGGTGGAAACTTATTACAGACCTAACGGGTAGCAGTAGCCTTAGTCCAAGCGAGGATTCCATTTTCCCATTCTTTCACCCCCTTGGTGAAAGGGGAATTAGCGGAAGGCGCAGCGAGAGATCCATCCCTCCCAGCCCCACAGAAGGTACAAAGGACACTCCGATGTTTGAACGCAGCATCAGACTTTCATATACAAAAAAATGCATATGCAGAAAAGACCAAACGCAACATTCCTCGAATTATGGTTTTTGGGTCAAGTTGTAATGCGCATGTGCTGTGCGCGGTAGGCCAAAACACAAGAGTTATCTGTACATCTATAGAAGTACCCAACTCACCAAGCGGGTGTTCGATTTGGTGGACAGGTCCCTTGTTGCGGCAAGCCATGTTGAGTATTGAATATCTGTTAATGAACGTACAGCTAATCAATCTGCAAGTCAAAATTTCCATCTTGACGGTTGTACTTACAATATGTAAGAACAAGCTATAACGAGCCGTGGACGGCGGGATGGGGCCCGGAGTTCTTGCTAACAATTTACACTTTCCTCGTGCCACTATCCGCAATGAACAACTTTTTCAGTAGAACTCCGCCATGTAAGCATTGCGGCAATGACGAGCTAACGTGGAAGAGAAGTAGCCCATCTGAGGGTAGTTGTTCTTTCCATTCCTAAAGGACAGCTGAGATAGAGTCATCCCACTATGATAACTCTTTCCTCCGCTTTGCGTGAAAGCTTCGAGGATATCTTCCCATGTCCTCGGCCTTTCTCATTCTCTCTACCCAATTTTTCTCCTCCGCTAAACAATTTCCAGTCTCGAACTCAGCACGACAATATCTGACTCGAAGTACACACGCCCTCTCTACGCCTACCATGAACGGCTTCCTGGGTACCTATCTGGGTGAATGGAAGCTGGAAGTCATGGACACCACACAAGATGCCATTCGCTACCATTGCAATAGTCACGGAGGTGTCACTGATGGTTGGCGTCCGGAAGAGCGGTTGTGGATTGGTGACCACGGAGACGTCTGGAAGGAAAAGGCTGTGTATCCTCCCTCTCTATCCAAGGTGCGCGCAGTCAAGAAGATCAACAAGGAACAGACGAACTTCAGTCAGTCATCACAGCGAGAGCTCCATGCCCTCACAACGTTCTCTGGGGACACAGTGGCAGAGGTAAGTAAAAGCCAAATCCTTACTACATACCCACCTTCAATGTGGCACATTTAATTAACCATGTCTAATTTAGTACCGAAACTGCTTCGTCCAGTTCCTTGGCTGGTTTGAAGATGCGCACTACCTGTACATCGCTATGGAATTCATGCCGAACGGTGATCTTCAGCGCTACATTGATGAGGAAAAATTCCTTACTGAGCCCGAGGCAGCCATAGTTACCCGACAAGTTGCCACAGCTTTGCAGTATATGCACATCAACGACTTCACCCACAGAGATCTTAAGCCTTCAGTATGTTTTTATTGGCACTACCATGGTGCATAATATATGGTTCGTTTGGAATATGAACTAATGTATACAAACTCAAAGAACATCCTCATCTCTTCAAAGGGACCCTCATGGCACGTCAAGCTAGCGGACTACGGAATATCCAGAAGGACAACTGGCGCACCGGTGTCCACCGAGTACATCCACACCAGCGGATACATCGCTCCTGAGTTAGTCGATACGTCAGAGAATTATACTGCTGCGGTGGACGTGTGGGCATTGGGAGCCATAGTCTTTTGTATGTTGACGGGCGCTCCGCCATTCCACAAGCGCGACGACATGCTTGAATACTGTGCAAAGATGAGACAGTTTCCCACCCGCTCATTGCGTACATCGACGGGAGTAACGTGTATCGACATAATCCTGGGAGCTATGGAGCCGGTGCCGGCAGAGAGGCTGTCTATCTCAGAGGTCTTGGAACATGACTGGCTTGCTGTCAAGACTCCGATTGCTAGCGAAACCCATTAGTAAGCTCTTGACTCTTCTCAACCATCACGCATCAAGGCTAATTTGTGTTAACTCCCTAAGAGTCTCGAATCCAAATCCACTTCCTAGGCTGTGTTCCCCTACAATCCGCCTTCCGTCTTCAGGGTGCTGCCGGACTCACCCCAGTCTAATACATTGTTGGAGGTTCCCTGTTTGACAGCATCAATTCACGTTTCCGAGACATTTGACTCAACCTCTATCGCCGAGGTTACCGTGGCCCAGAATTAGGGACAGGTCATAAAGGAAAGGACATACAAGGCGAAAGAAAGCTAGCCGCCAGCTGGAAGTATTCTAGAGGCAACCATCTTGCATCTGAAGTCACTCCGCGCAAAAAAATGGGACTAAACAGCATAACCCAAACCATAGACGAAGGAAGAGAAGTGCGACGAGCTGTATAATAAACTTCTCGACAAGATGGTGGACAGCTATCTGCAAGACGGCGACCTCACACGGTCCAGGAACATAACGTTGTCCCAGTTATTCGTTTTCGATGATGAAGATGCATCGCAACAGCAAAATCCAGAGATACCCGGTATTGTCTACGTTTTTTGTTGCCAGACGTGCTCTAGACTTGTGGAAGGTCTCCAACATTTGCAGCTTAAACATGGCTTAAAGATTCCCACTTCTGTTCTGATAATAGGATTGGCAATTCAGAGCCACATTCAAAGGTCTGCGCAACGTTAAACAAGGTTGTGTTGGATGTCCACTCAGCATAATATACACATGGCACCCATTTACACTTGCGGTGTTTCCTGTAGGTAGCCTTATGTAGTCTGTTGTTTTCTTTCCTGCTTGGGCCTTTCTATCCAAAGATATTATAGAATAAAAAAAAACCGTTGACTTTTTTCGTGTAATCAAGCCAGGCTTGATCCTTGTTGAATGAAACCCTTCAGGCGCCGACTGTGGGTCCGCCGGTACTGGCGTTGATCGGAAATCAAGTGTCGCGTCAGTTGAGACGCGGCTTGATCTTGAACACCACGTATTCTAGAGGTACCCTTCCAACAAGTGCAGCTCGGCACAATAAACAACAAAAGAATATATCCGGACAACCATGGAGAACATTTTAGACGGCTCCTTGCGGGACTGGAAGTTGGATCTTCTGCAAGGAGAGTTCCGCCACAACCCAGAGAACGGGGACGACGTCCACATCCATCTGAAAACGAATGAGATATGGCGCCCCGTTAAACGACTGGGAAGCGGTACTTTTGGAGAGGTTTGGCAGCAACAGTGTATACGGGAAGAATCTGTTACCGAGCTTCGTGCCGTTAAAAGAATTCGTAAGCCGCAAACAGGCTTTCTCGAGTCATCGCAGCGAGAGGTTCAGGCACTCGCCACATTTTCCAGTCGCAAGAAGCACCAGAATCGGTCCACGGTGAGTTTAGTACTATCTACCTGTGCATGATGTTTTGAGTTCTTTCGTTCCTTTAATGGAAAGAAACGTGAATGGCTAAGTACAAACTGCAGATTGATGACCAGTATGAGCAACGGTTTGTTCAGTTTCTCGGTTGGTATGAGGATGCCAACTACCTATATCTCGCTATGGAGTTTTTAGAGTGTGGAAGTCTTCAGAGGTATTTCGAAGTGAGAAAGGCGCCTTTTGAAGAAGACGAAGCAGCTACGATTATTCAACAGGTTGCAGAAGCCTTGCAATTCATACACAGCAAGGATTTCATCCACAGAAATCTCAAACCTTCGGTATTTCTCCACCTGGCCAAGTGTGTGTACTGCTCGACGCTAACGGGCCTCAATCACAGAATATTCTCGTTGCGAAGACAGGGCCCGCATGGCATGTGAAAGTCGCCGATTTTGGAATTGCAAAAGACATCGGGGTACCTTCGTGCTCTACAGACCACGTCGATACGCCTGGATATATAGCCCCCGAGATGATGGACTCGAAAAACTACACGTCAGCGGTCGATGTGTGGGCGTTGGGTGCTGTGGCCTTCTATTTACGGACTGTTCATACTCCGTTTGCCACCTGGGAGGCCTTAAGACAGTACCGCGCGGGTCAGAAGGACTTTCCGAGCCGCGTGTTGGGCGTATCAACTGGCTTCTGTATTGATTTCGTCCTGGGGGCTATGCGCCCGCTTCCAGAAACGAGGTTGAGTATTCAGCAGGTTCTGAGCCATGATTGGCTTCACATGAAAGAAACGTGCAGAAATTTGATGGCTCCGTAAGATTCGAGTTCCCTACGCTTTCTCGGAATGACGGACCTGAAGATGGACTTTATCTGACTTGTCATTACAGGTCGCTATTAGACAAACCGCTTCCTACACTGAGCATGATGAACAGGTCAACAGCCACCAGCAGTGTGCCCACACCCAGTACGCAAACCAACTCTACGCGAACCAGTATAACACATAACCAGTCAGACACCGCGAATAACCAAGTTGAGACAAGGAACGGGCGGGTGACGGGGCATGAAGCTGAAGTGGTGAATCAGGAGCAACCAATAATAAAAATGAAGGCAGAAGAGAGAGAGCAGCAGCGACTGGCTGCTGAGTCAACGAACAAAAAAGCGCCAGAGGGGCAAAACAAGCGACAGAGGGAGTTGTCGTTTTTCTGGAAGAAAAAGGAAGAAGAGGAGTTGAAGAGACAGGAAGAGCTAAGACGAAGGCAGGAGATAGTCAAGAGGGAGGAGGAAGAGGCGGAAGAGTTGGAGCGACAAGCAGAGCTCGAGCGGGAACGAAAGGGAAAAGAAGAGCTCGAGCAAGCGCGAGTAAAGCAAGCGCTTTTGCAGCAGCAACAAGAACAACAGCGAGAAAGGGAAAAACGGGCAAGAGAAGAGTCTGAAGACGCGACAGAAGCAGAACCGAAACCCGACGCAGAGAGAATCAAGCGGGTGAAGAAGGAGCTTAAAACTATCTGCATGTTATGCGGCGAGAAATTCCAGCATTTTGGGCAGCTGTCTAGGCATCTAAATACTGAAAGGCATAGGATGCCCAAGAACTACTGGGGAGCAGGGATAGGACACATGGAGTTCTCGGATATAGATGCTCTTGAAGCGCTTAGAGGACCGTTGGAGTAGCCTAAGAAATCAAAGAAACAAAAATCAGACGCTACACATGACGACTATGACACAAGAAGGACAAAATACAGCGACATCGATACATACGTCAACTGCAGGTACCTAGAGTTAGGATACTCGCCTCACATTCTGGGCTCGGGGTTGGATTTATAGCATCGACGACGAGAGTTGCGTGCAAAAAGACAAGATACCAGTCGGCCTTTGCCAGCTCCTGTTTATAGGAAATCGACAATGATGAAATCACCTATCAACAATGTAGTAGAACATTCCAATCGCAAAGTATCCATGTGAGAAGTGGATTTGTCTTTACCACCTCGAACACCAAGACACCTCATGTGATCCTTACCTATCGACGACGACGAGACTTGTATAGGGCAAAAGAGAAGACAAAAGACAGGATAAAAGATAGGGTACACATGGGAGAATATTCGAAATCACCGTCTTACGTACAGTACAGTCTTGGGTAGGCATAAGTATTGTGGCAAATTGGTATGCAAGGTATATACTAATCTCTAATAACAACTAATTCAGGCGAGTTATCGGAGGTGAACGCCTTTAGCCTTCTGCTTGGCGCTCGGCCCTGACTCTTGCAATGGAATTCCTAAAAGGGTTTGCCGAAGGAGGCTTCTTTTTCCTTTCTGGTTGTAAAGTCGATGGGGAAAGCCTTGATCGATAGATTTCATCGCGGGCGACTCCCCCTTCGAATTTTTCCAGACCTTTAGGTCGCGGCGGATATCGTCTAGTTGGGCTGTTAAAACCAACAGAAGTGGGGGATGAAGATCGTTTGGCTGTGCTGTTTGGACAACAGAAGTGGGCGATTGAACTTTCTGGGGAGAACTGAGGCTGGCCGTATTCTCTTTGGCCTCCCTTGTGCAAGTTGGCTCTGGCGTCCTCCCATATGAAGGAACAAAAGCAAGAGGTTGGGAGTGTTCGGTGAAGCTAACGTCACTATCACTGTCTTCGCTTGTCCAGCTATCCAGACACAGTTGTCCCAGTGATGAGGTCGATGATGCAAGCGAAGCCGACGATGGAGCGCTCTGGTGTCTTTACAACTTTAGTTGAGCAAGCGCGATTCCGGATTGGAAAACAGGGTCGTCACTTACCTTTTTGGAACATTCATATCTCTGGACAGCCAATAATGCCCCACAGCTTCGATGATTGTTAATCGTTCTTGGGGTATTGCCGCCATGGCGCCTGTGATGAACCCTCTGCAAGGCTGGGTAGAGGAGCGTAGCTTAAGGGTGGGAAATACGGTAGGGTCTTCCGGGTAGTTGGCCAATGTCACGGGATTGGGAAAAGGGGGCGATCCCGTTCGCATGCAGAAGGCGATGGCCCCGAGGGCCCATACATCAACCGCGGATGTATAACGTTCAGATGTGTGCCACACTTCAGGAGCCATGTAGCCGAAAGTCCCAATCTGATGTGTCCCAGCCACTGTGTCACTCAGGTCCCTTGTAATTCCAAGATCGGCGACCTTTACATGCCATGTTGGACCTGGTTGGGAGACCAGCATGTTCTTGGAAACCACCTATGTTAGCTTTGGGGTACGGAAGATGGAATTGACAGGCTCGGTATTATGTCCTCCGCCAGAACGTACCAGAGGTTTAAGATCCCTGTGAACCAGGCTTCTGGTATGCATATGAAGCAGAGCCCGGGCGATTTGAGCCGTTATTGAAGCTGCTTCTGGTTCCGGAATGCATCCTTGATCTATGTGCTGTTGTAAATTTCCGTGCTCGACAAGTTTCATGACAATATACCAGTGAGTTTCGTCCTCAAACCAGCCACGGATTTGGACAAAATGTTGTTGATACTAATAACGATCTTCGTTAGACTTGGCAGTCAATTGAACGCTTAGTTGTTGACTGCTCACCTCGACGACCCTGTCGTCAGAGAACGTAGTGAGTGCCTTAATTTCCCGCCTTGAAGATTTAGCAAAGCTACCTTTCCGCTTAGGAAGATATTTGACAGCACGGAAGATGCTCGATGAAGAAGAGGTGCCAGATAGGCACTGTTCCTTCCAAACCTCTCCACATGTGCCTTCACCTAACTACCCATTACGTTCATACCTTCGCCTTCGTACACAAGAATGTGCGGCCTGAATCGATCCTGTGCTTCGGAAACAATGGGGCTTCGCGTAGCAACGCATTCCTTGTTGGTTTTGATGCCTTTCGGGCCGCTGGCGGTAGCACAATGATGTCGGGGGACATAAGCTGGGAACGTAATGTGTATCGGCATCCGTCTCGACAGGGTTTCGACCCGGCTGAGAAGTACCGTATGCAACACGACATATACAGCCTCGGAGTCTGTCTCTTGGAGATTGGGCTCTGGGAATCTTTTGTTGAGTACAGCACAGGAGTGGAGAATTCCGGAAGGCCACGCACCAAATTTGGAAGGACTTACTATCAATTTGAAAAATGGCTTGACGAGAGAAAAACCGCAGCGGGCGAAGATTCCACTACCATCACCTTCAATGCGCTGGCATTGAGTCTCAAGGACTATCTTGTTGAGCGGGCAAGCACCAGGCTTGCGCCGCGGATGGGTGATAAGTATGCGCATGTCGTCCTTCAGTGCCTAACATGCCTGGATGAGGAGAACGAGGAGTTTGGCGGATCGGGCTCGGAGACAGAGGACGTGGGCGAAGACACGGTTGCCCTTTGATTTGCCGAGAAGATTTTGAGTGATTTGGACCAGCTTTCCATGGTCTGATGCGGTATGTTGGAGAGGAGTAGGCACCAGGAGGGGAACGAGTATGTGAGATCGGGTTGATCATTTCGTTCGGGAACTGGCCAGTATCAACACACGAAGTCGTCTGTTCATCTTTTAGCCATCTACAATAGGTAAACACACATTGAAGCTAGGGAGATGCCGTAAACATATATCGAATATGAAAGTTTGCGTTTTATACCCCTCGCCTTGGCCAGAAATACCGTTAAGAGATAGTGACATGCATCGCTTTGTTTTCAGAGTACGTTGGTTAGAGTCCCTGAAGGATTCTGCGATCCAAGAAAGGGCTGAATTCGCTCAAATGGTATACGAAAGACGCATGGATCCACAGAAGAGCGTAACCAAAGTGTATTATGTCGACAATGAGGTGTTCGGTTTATCCCTACGACCCTTCAACTGGGTGAACATTCGGTGATGTTCACAGGTATTGTGCGAGTCGGTTGACTGTTCGACCCTTATTCAACATCCAATCCCCGGTCCCTCAACAGCTCCTCCCTCATCCTTCTCTCCTCTTCCGCCTTCTCCGCTTCGATTCTCCACACATCCCTCAGCCAGAACGGCACAAAGGCCTTAACCTTGACCTTTTTTGCCTCGACTTCACTCCCCCCCTCTCCACCCAAACTGACCACGAATTCCTGCTGAGGGCTATACGTGCCCGGTGTCTCTCCTGGCAAGACGGTATCCGTCATCACCTCCAACCTGCACAGCGCCAGTCCGACGTTGCCAATACCTCTCAGCCACTTGCCGGGGGCGCTCCTTGACTTCTTGTCCACCTTGTCAATGCTCGCACCTTGAGGAATCATCTCTGCCTTGACTCCCTGTTCGACCTCAGGCTTCAAGAGCTTCTCCAGCGCTTCCAGTTGCCCAGGTCCGTCAGCTGGGATCTCCGGGGCGGCACCCTCGGGATAGAGGATGCAAGGAAGGATGCGCTTGCGGACAACACCACGATGCTTGGTGCGGATGGTAAGCTCTTGGCCGACGTAGCAGCCCTTGCGGAAGTCGATACCATTCATCACGTCCATGTTGGACTCGAGAGGGAGAGCGGTGCCGGAGATGATCTCGGACTGGCCTTCGGGGATGCCGAGGAGGAAACGGCGGAGGTGGTAAGATGATTCGGGTGTCAGGTCGCCGTCTGTTAGTGGCGAGGAAGAGGAGGTCTGGTTGACGACCAGACGGGAGCCGAAGGCCGGAACACGCGGGTCCGGGACAGCCCTTGCGTTGCCATCTTTTTGTACCTCGTCGACCAGCTTAGTCCATGGTCCGGCCTGGTCTACATCGTTCCATGAGTGATAGAGAGCACGCTCCTCCGGGTCTAGCAACTTCAAGTTGAACTTGGAGCGCAGCTTGTAGCGCTTGATGTGCTTGTGAAGTGTCGCAGCCTCGTCGGCGTCAACCTCGATCAGGAAGCTCTGCTTGCCTGGCTCTGGACCCAGGTCATCCGGGTAGATGATGACATCGTGGACCACACGGCCCTGAGCTGTCAGGAAGCCGGTATAAAAGCCGTCGGCATTGTGTGGAGCGTTGATGTTGTTGGTGATGACACCCTGAAGGAACTTGGAGGCATCCGGGCCGGAGACGGAGATCAAGCGCCGCGATGAAAGTTTGGTGAGGCCGGCGCGAAGATCCGTTTGTGTAGAGACGGTGCCCGAGAATGGTCGCCGTTGTTGTTTCCGTTGCACGGACCGGCAGCCAAGGCAGATGAATGGAGTGGTAGCTGTGCGCAAGGCCGCAGAGGCCGGGGCGGCGATGGCTATCGATCTGGTAGCCGGCTGCATGGTTGCTTGGTGTAGTGGTGCCCTTCCTCTCAGCCTTGTGGGAAATCGCTGGTCAAGCAATGCGATCGGGACCGGGGGTGGGACGAGGGGACGGAATGATGGGAGTCAAGGTCAAGGTTTGTTTCCGGAACGACCCGGTCGCAATCTCCATTTAATCCCGACGGCCTACGGGTGGGGTGGTGGGTAGTGCGGGCGGACGGATGTCGGGTGGTCATAGCTCCACAGCTTCCATGCCCCGAATTAGAACGGAACTCGGCATGTTCGGAGCTCCGCTGGTCCCGCCTCTCCGAAGTTTTCTGCCCAGCCCCGCCCGTCCACTCCCGAACTCCACCTACGCAGTGCGGCAGCCCGGCCTTACATATTCAACGGGCGCGTGGCCGATCACTTAAAATTCCGTAGTGTAGAAGAGTGGAGAGGTACATGGAAGCTAGATGTACGTACCGCTATCCATCTCGGGTTTCCGTCGCTTTCCCAATGTCATCATCAACATCCACCACCGCGACGACATCCACGAAAATCCACCCCCCCCCCCCCCCCCCCCCCCCCCGATGCGGATCCCGTCTGTTGGATGTGGATCATGGGTTGCCATATTCAGCCCCTTAGACCCTATTTTATCCGACAACATCAACAAGATCACATCGACGGATCCCCTTCAACCGTGTAAGGTCGAAACATCACCAGAAAACAACTGAAGCACATGGCGCGGCATTTGCGGCGACACCCCTCAAGGGACAAAGGTCATTTGACAGCTTTCGCCCAGCACAAAAGCCGGTTTTCACGATATCGGATTTCGACTTCTCGGTCACCCAGCACAAATATGAAGGCTGTCAGCCCCAACGCGAAAACTCCTGTGTGACCCGGGCCACAGTCCCGACTCTTTCCTTGGATCTTCGTCTCCCACACCCTCAAACCTGCGCGGGGTAAGGCCAAGCCGAATATCGGAGCAGTATCAACTACAAGACAACTTCTTTGGATCACGATGCAGACATGGGAAACACTGCATAAAGGCGGGCATACAAGGTGGGAGTGAGCGGTAAATGGTTCACACCCCTCCATGTCGTCAATATGCAAGGACACACACATCGTCAAGCCCGTACGACTCATCAACACCTCTGTCACCTTGCTTTCGAGCAGGCAAGGGATTAAGATGGTGGGCGCCAAAGTCACACCAGTTGGACGGGTAGGTATGGTGCTGGCCATTCAACCAAGCATACCGAGCGATGCTCAGATAATCTCCCTGCAGCTCCGTCATGTCCAACTTGACTACTCCTTTCCTCGCCCAAGCAACGTCGATAACATCCTGTGACTGGTATCACCATCATCAAGTATTTGAAATCAGGAAACTCATCAAATGTTGGTCGAACTTGATCAACTCTCGACCAATACGACCTGACGAAGCCAGTTTACATTTTGTTCTCACATTGGTAGGTGAGGGGTAAAATGCCATTGCTTACATACTCGTCCTAGGCTATCGATACTATCAGCGTAAGCAATGCCGCCAAATCCAAACACAGTTATCTCAAAGTTTCCATTCACGCAGGACCAACAGGGTTAGCTCTACACCGGAGCAAGCAAGATATTGTCTCGGACCATACCTCTCTCGAATTAGTGTCGTGTGGGAAATTATCCGAAACCGTCGTTCACCCAGGAAAGTTAGTCGCCGGCCTACCGGTGCATAGAAGACTTGGCGGTTTGCGGGTGCGCTATCCGTGAGGTGTTGGCATGTGCATGTGATCGGAACCACATATCATCTCCCATCGATACATCCCGAAACAAAAACCGGGAACTTGGGACGGAGGCGTTCTCATCACACTTGCGGGTGCCGAGCTCGGGCGCGCATGATTGGGGCACGCAATACTTTCAGATATCGACTCTTGCAAGATTTTCGACGAGTTGCGAAGGCAGCATGACAAGCACGTTGGAATACAACATCGATACATCTTGGCAAAAGGCAGCAGCTGTCATTCACATGCACGCAAAATCAGGCTCTCTAGAGATGGGGATAATTGTGAAACAGGTGACGCTCCAAGCCACATCCTGACCGTAAATCCAGCTCCATATTTCAACCCCGGATTTTCATCCTCACTCACGACATCAGCTGCCTCTACCTCTCGATGCCAAGCTGAAACATATGACTCGAACCTTGACAGTCCCGTCAAGCCAGCTTAAAAGCCACAAAGCCTCACGGCTCAAAGCCACAACCTCCGTTTCGAGTCTGTCTCAATGGAGTAAGAGTCTGAAGACAGGATACCTTGCCGAATACCGGAATTATAACCGTATTCCTCGCCTCCCGGCACCTTGAACCCCAGATCCTCGAAGCATGGCAAGCGGATATAGTTTAGATTACAACCGGCTCACCGGTTCTTAGATCTCACGAGTTCTTCTTAACAAGTATCCACGGTTACCGCTACAGTTACCGCTACCGCTACCGCACACCATCGCACGCCATCTCAGGAACCATCACGAGTCTCCCCTGGCCTCCATTCATGGGTGCACTACAGGCGCCCCGAAAGTTCGGAGCATGGCGGTAAGGAACGGCAAGGTATGTAAACACTAGATTAAGTAGGCGAGTAGGTAGGTAGGCGCGTGTAACCCCCGTGCCCTCCTCCCCCATTCCTCATGACGAGGACTTGATCCTGCCCTTGACATAACTACACTAGCTATCTACACACCCTCCCATGCCTCCCATCCGGAGCCTGGCCGGAGTGGACAAGGAGAACGTTGATGATCTCCCAATAGCTCACTTACCCCCGGAGCGCCGGCGTGTTGTGATCCTTGAGGATCTCCCACTCCGATATAGGGGGTGGGAGATTTGATAGCTTAGTGCAATGTTAAGTAAGCGGTAAAGGGAACGGTATGTATGTATGTATGGTATTTAACTTGACCGTGCCCGGCGGTCGGAGACCGTTAATACACCGACACCGACCGCTGCCGACTTGTCCCGGTGAGTCGGGACAAGTGCCCTGGCTAGCACCCAAATAAAAGTCAGGGTTAGTTGGGCTCCCGGTCAGGTGACGATTTGGGCAGGAATTTGACCTCTGGGGTTTTGGTAAAAGGGTATTTATCGGTTCTGGCTTCGAGCTTGAAATGAGGGTTTTGCATTTCTTATTCGGAGAAATAGAGTTTAAGGTTAACCGCTTCTCCGAAGAAAGGTGCAAGTAAACCAATCAAAACCCCTTTTTGGGAAACAAAGGTAAACCAAAAAAAGGGGGGTCCTCTCGTCTGCATATAAACTCCGAACAGATACGAAAAAAAAAAAAAAAAAAAGCGGAGCGAAGAGGCTCAAATTCAGAGCGAGCGTACGAGGATCAGTTTAGTGCAAAGAAGTGGGTTTTTGCACAGCATCGCCATCTCCATTGTGGAGGAGGAAAATGGAGAATTGTCAAGTGTCAACATATTGTCTGTTGTATCCACCATAACCCATCACCACAATCATCCATCCACCGTCAGGGCCACCAACAGAGGCAAAGGCGATCATCAAATCCACAAAGTGGACTTTTTGGATCAATGTCAACATCTATTACCCCGTCTCCCCGGCAACAATTCCGACAGTGGTGGACTTTGACCGCTGATGTTCTCTCACGACATTGGTCACGCGCCCCCCCTATCTTGCTTGCTGTTGCGCATCCTTTTTCTGTACCCCGTATTGTCTGCCCGTAGTGTATGGTAGTGTAGTGTAGTGTGGTGTAGTCCAGTCGGTCCCTTGTTAACTCCCCCCCCCCCCCGGACTAGTAGTGTAGTCCCTAGTTCCCGCGGACGGACCCTTAAAAGTGTAATCTCGACGACGCCTTGCCTGGTACGATTGTGTCTCTGATTTGGAGCATCTCTCTTCTACACTAACTACACTAATAGACCTACACCGCATCCACCAGAGGAGTGCAGTGTCCCTAACAACGGGATCTTCTTTGCATGGCACCGTTGATAGATTGACACCTCTTTTCCATGTTGGGTCTTGTACTAGAAGGGGGATCATTGTCGCTCTGTCTCTTTTTTTTTTTTTTTTTTCTCCGGGCAGTTACGTAGTGAAGGGGCATTGAAAGGGTCACGGTTTGGCAGGTTTGTTGGCTGGCCTGAGATTTGCGGAGTTCCGTAAGTATGCCGTTGTCTGGTGTCGTCGTGGAGCAGATGGATATGGAGCACCGATTGAAACCCGCACAGCCTCTCTTTCCTCCTGAAAATAGGAACCCAACGATCAACGCTGGGTCTGGATCTTCTGGATCTCTTGTTGAATCTGCTATCTTTGGTAGCTTTCGACATCATGCACGGAGGCTGTGATTTCAAGATCTGACTTGGGAAGATCTGTGTACATACACCATGGTCGGTACGGGGGAGGCAAGAAATGCGAGGCGGTCGTAAGAGGTACTCGAGCTGAGATCCAATCTGAGAGATCTGATTCAATGAATGTTTCGAAACGTCAAGCTGTCCCCCGTTCCTGACTGACTGAGGAAGGGGCTCGAATTGGACGACTGTCCGCACTGACGGGATCAAACTGATTCGTTCCACCTATTCGCTCTCGCCTCTTGAACTGTGCACTACCTATCTTTCTGTCTTTGCAGTAGTTCGCTTGTTACAGTAACAATGGGCAAAAAGCTGGGGAATCCCAGCCTCTGTTTTACCATGACTTCGCTACAGCACAGCACAGGACAGCACTGCCAACCCCACGATTTACAGCGCCTATCAGTTGGTTCCCTTGCTCATGGATCTGCTCACCTATCTTTTGGTTGTTTCCATAACCAAAGAGAATCCACCAACCTCAAACTCTACGTACACGGTTTATTATGCATGTCTCTATAGTATGAGCTGGCTCAACTTTATTGGTGGCTTACTGAATACCTCTGTACCTTGCCAAAATGGTGTGATTCGACCGGTTGTTGACACGACGGGAAACCGAAAAGTCGGTATGGGGTGTGTGAATCGTCGCGTCAAGGTGACGGGAGATGCGTCACCTATCTCAGTCCGCTAATCTGTAAAACTCTAGAGGGATCGGATACGTACGTTGGACATCGATGTGTGCCTGGTGTACCTACATTGTAAAAGCGGAGTGCATTGGGTGACACATATCAGACTGAAGGCGTGGCTATCAACAACTGAGACGCTACTGCAAGCAGCTTGTTAACCTGGCCCAGGCCTTGGATACAGACTTGCCAGACTGCGCCCTGATGTTGTCATAGAGGGTCATATATAATCTCATCACGATGATCTATGTCCAATTAAAGGCACGCTTTGTGTCTCAGTTAGGAGCCCTGAATTCAGTCCTTCAAGATCAGATCACATCAGGTCGCTTCAGGGGTGCCAGCGAAGCCCAAAAAAAAAAAAAAAAAAAAAAAAAAAAAAAAAAAAAAAAAAAGAAGAGTGGTGGTCGTCGCCAAGGTTCTTGATTTGCGCTGAAGCCTCACAATTAGACCTGCAGACTATGGTACCAGCACAGTGGTTTGACAGATCGCTTGTGAGCCCAGGCATTGTTTGTTTCGGCGTGGCCTTTGACGCCGGCAGTGGTTCTTTGTAGTCACCAATGCTTATTGTTATTCGTCTTTATTTTCCTTTTGTTTTCTTCTGATACGATGGCTGGCTCCTATATCGGCGTTTGCATTTTCCTTGTCTTGCTTGTCTTAATTTCCTTGTGACGTTTGGGTGATATGCTCGTTCTTTCTTTCTTCGTCCCAATTGGGTTGTGGTTGTCGTTCATCTCAGGTCACCTCGCTTTCGCATTCCAAGTTGGGTGAACAACCAACCACACTGCCGAACGGTCGGGATACGGTAACCAGCTTGACCGGGTGCTGCACCGCACAGCTTCCAGTCTCCGCTGTTTGTTGATTGTTCAATATCTCTCAGCTGCTGCCGCAATCTCCGAACGTACGGCGGCCAACCGAACCGTAGCTGGCAGCCACGCCAGCCACCGTCTTTGTTGTCAAGAGGCTGGGCCTAGTGTTTGGCTAAACACACTCCTCTCGAGCTTCGGTCTGAGGTAGGCGTAGCTCACTCACCTCACGATACTTTTCTGCGTCGCTTGGCTCGGTGAAGTTGTTACGCGTACCGGCAGAGGTCGCACGCATCCCCAGCGAATCGGGTGCCATAAGTCGTTGCTTGGCAGAAAATCGCATTGACGGAGGAAGAGGGGCTGCGAGAGGAGGGGCCGTTCGGAAAGTGGCAGGCGATGCGTTATCCAGTAATCCGCGCGGCCGGAGGAGGCGCGGCCGCCGCAAGAGCCGGCTTGGCTGCCGATAATTGACAGGCACCGCTTCTTCACCGTGTTTCGATAACTGCGTTTCATCATGGGGATCGGTCGGCCTTTTTCTCCGTGAGACACACCGCGCCGGAACGCGCTTACGGCTTCCGCTACTGCGACCTACTTACCCCGCGCTTGTGGGTGCGGGACTGGAGATCGCGTAATCAGGCCTTTAAGTTGGGAAAAGCCTGGAAATGCAAGAGTCTGGAACATCCGGTAGCGCCCGCGGATGAAAGAACCACTCTGTGATCAGACAGCATCAAAGAAACGGATTGTTTACCTTGAACGGCTTAGAACCGCGGTGCGGGTTATTAGCGGGTTCCGCCATGCGATGAGTCTTTTCCCCCCCGTGACCTGACCATTGCAAGCTCATGCACTGGGCTTGAACTATACGTTGATGGCTCTTCATCTTGTCTCGAGATTCAAATGGAAGAATGACCTTGAAAATCCCAACAAAGTTGTAGCGGTTTGCAACTGCGGGGAAGAGAAAAAACTTCAACGCTCACATGCACAACGCATTGGCTGTACATGTGTACACTAACCGTGTAGGCAACGCTCTCCGGATTAAAACGTTTATGCCTGGGGCCTGGCCTTGCCTTGCTCCTCACCACCCTTGCTTGGTCCTGACGCTTTGGTGCAATCCTGCTTCTCCAAGCTCTTGTCTTGTACCTAGATCTCTGCAACTGGCTATCACGCAAGATATTTCCCGGCTTGGTATGACTCTCAAAGCTTCTGTTTCGGATGCGGGAAATCGTTGACATCAACAGCCTAAACCGGCATCAAGGTGTTTCTGCCTGAGCTTTGGCCTGTGTCTTCCTGTTTGCTGTGCCTGAATCGCGACACCTCAAGCCAAACAGGGCAAAAGTTCGACGAGGGTCTGATGAACGATTTGAGAGTCGAATCTACGCCATCTCAAAGAAGCTCATTGCAAGAAAACAAAGGCCGGGAAATTTTCCAGCACTTTCACGTGTAGTGTAAACGCCTGCCTTGCTGCTTACCGCAAATCAAGCGAGCATTGTGCCAAGATCCGCGGCGTATGTTGCACAACCTCTTCTCCCCTTGTCTCCCCGGATTTCCCATCTCTTCACTTTCCACATTCGCTCTAGCTTTCAGCCCGGCATTATCTTATCAACCTTCACACCCCCCACTTTCTCCGCTTATACACTGTTGTCACGCCCCGTAGCCCGCTATGAATCATACCGACTCTTACCGGCTCCCGCGAACCGAAAAACTCGCGATAGTTACCTACTTGTGGTTACCGTCCTTTCTTCGGTGCCTCGGAATCGATACCGACCTATCAACCGGCCGAAGTTGGGAATGTGAATCATCTTGATTCAAGAAAAGAAGCGAAGTACAACTGGGAGAGGTACACGTGTAAGTCACACACGCTGCACTCGCTTCTCATCCATCACTTTTACCAGTCGCTTCGCTGCCTGGATGGCCAAGAACGTCTCAAGGCTGCCGCGATTACAAAGACCTTTCAGGCATCCTTCTTATCATAATCGCTACATTTGCTTACTCAAACTTCAACCTCGAATTTTATGCGGTTGATAAAAAAAAAAAAAAAAAAAAAAAAAAAAGAGACCGATTCTCGGACCTGTCTCATAGCTACATGTTGGTTAATTGGGTACCCAGGTTCTCGCTCCTAGTACACTAGACCAGATGTTTTCCGAACTCCCCGCAACCTTTTAGAGACTGAATGAATAGCTAGGCATAGATCCGAAAGGCATCAACAGATCCACTGCCGTGTATTTTCATTTGGAAATAGCATATTCACAGCTTGAAAACACCTTGGGGAAGTTGGCCCAGAGGTCTCGAGCTAACAAGCAAACCAGCATTAGACTGTACCAATGCTGAGGTGTGTGTATCACATAAACCGTCACACAGCACAGCAGCTTTCTGCACATGACAAACTTGACAGCTTCCTATACACCACAGTTGGGTATGTAATGCACGACTACCTTTACATACATGTTATATCTCCGTCGCAGTCAGGCATCGGTGCTTCAGCATGTTTTTTTTTTTTTTTTCTTTTTTTTTTTTTTTACGAACCAACAACTGAAAAAAACAAGAGGACAACGAACACTGCACAAAAGCCAAAGTGCAATACTGCAATGCCAGCCACTTAAATTTGGTTACGCAATTGATCTTCGGCTTGTTTTCTTGTCACTTTCTTGTTTGTTTACACTACTTACTGGATGAGGCTGACACGCAACGACTGGCACAAAAGGGCACCGGTTACTTTCTCCGCCTATTTTGTAAGAAGTATACTATGTACAACTGTACCCTAACAATTTGAGTTTTCGTTATTGCCGGTAGGTATGTATGTTGGATGCATCGTGAAACTCGGGGTCGCGGTCGGAGCAGCAGCAGCAGCAGCAGCGGCGGAGCCTAACGGACTGGGAGGAGTGTCACAGGAACGCATCTCCGCGACCTTTTAGACCCTTATGGTACTTGATAAGGCCTGCACCCGCCTGCCCTCGCTCCATACCATCCCGAACCGACGGAGCGGCGGCAAGCTGGTTGTGGGGACTTTTTAGGGACTGAAAAAGAGGCGAAGCCCCCCCGGGCGGGCGCGTCAAGCGAAGCCTACGAAGACAGGGAATTTGATACTACCTCTACATATTAAAGTGGATGGAAAGTAGGAGCATGACAACAGCCCAGAGCTGCCCAGAGCTGCCCAGCAGTCCCCAAGTAAACCAAGTAAAACGGCCAAGAGAAAGTCTATATGTAGTGTACGACAACTGAAAGAATGACAAATGTCAGAAAAAAAAAAAAAAGGTCGGAAAGTCGTAAGGAATTGTCGCCGATAGGGGCCGGGGCGTCTCGATCTACCCGCCACGGCACCATTCACCCATCGCGTTTATCGGCAAAAAGGTTTCGCAAGGTTTCGCTATCGCGTACTGTGTAGTGTAGTGTACGCAGTAAGTATATCCCGATACAGGAACCGAAACCCCAAAAAAGTGGTGATGTCAATTGAGGTCATCCATCCATCCGAATATTCATTCGTTCTAGGGGTCCTCCTCCTCCGCTTCCTTCTTTCCCCCCTCCCCATTTTTTGAGTAGGTATGTTTCTTTCCATTGCCCGTTGAATAACCGGTCAGAGAGGTAGGTTGCCCACCCAATAAGCACACTTACACTCTCTCGCTTGTCATCGATAAGCAGGAACCAACTGGACCCCTAGACTAGACTACACACGCTACATCAAATAGAGATGAAATTTCCAGACACATGACGGGGACCCGACTTCTTGGGGATATAGGACGAACGGGAAGAATCGGAAACTAAAAAGTCAACGATAGGGACTGAAGGGTTCATTCACACTACAAGCAAGTTGACATACATGATGATACGTAAGGTAAGACTGTTTGGCGACGGAATTACACTACACGGACGCACACCCAGAAACAAAGATGATTGTCGTCGCTAGAATTAGAAGTAAATGTTTTTCTTTGTGTAGGTAAAGTTGGATAATGATTGAATTCTGACGAGAATGATGAAAGATGATTTATTTCGGCCATTGCAAGCCACCTACCTTAGCGTACCGACCGCTACAAACTCCGATTTCCCAAACCGTTACACCGATCGGGATCGGCTTGTAACTGAGTGACTCTTTGTCCCCATCGGATCTCCCGAAAATCAATCATCTTGCCCCATTTTGCAATTATCGCAAATAGTAACATGTGAATCATTTCCTGGTCCTATTGAGCATTGAATCACTGATCATCACCATGACATAGATTTGGCACGATTGGAATGAATGCACACTTGGTTTTCCGAAGAAAAACGGTTCGCTGTTATTTGCTCCGAGACAAGTCGGAATTGAGCTGCGAAGTGCCGGTAGCTATGAGATCATGGCTTCCCCATCCGACCCAAGAAGACCCTGAATTCCCCACTCTACCAAAAACACCACACTGCCGTGGTGATGGGAGCGGGTACAGTCCAATACAGCAATTGTGTGATAGCGATACAAGTTCCAAAGTGTAGTGAAATGCCCAAAGCTCCAATTGCCATTTGCCCTACAAACTGTTTGTATGTTCTCGTTTGTGTGTCTCCCGATACTCCATTTCCAATTCCGCGACCATAGAAACACAGACCATTATGAGTAGTGATTTCGAGAGAGAGAGTAGAGAAAAAGAGCAAACATTTAAGTCTGGTCCATGATGATATGTGGGAAAAAACGCTGTTCGCTTGATGATGGTAGAAACTCCCGTAGTCCCAATCCTATTCCAATCCAATTCAATCTTCCCAATTGCCCCGATGCATGCCAGGCGAAATGTGGTATCATCGTAAAAATACAAAATGCAAAAATGTAAAACGCCGTTGCCCGATGCAGAAGAGTGCTATGCAAGATAATGAGGAATCATTGTAGAACAAGGAAAAGTGTATGTGTGTGTGTGTGGTGGGGGAAGTCTTTAGTACATCCCTATCGGCGACACAAGTGTCGGACCACGGCTTGGTAGGTAGTAGCCCTGGTTGTGGGTATAAAAGGCATCCTTGTCTTGTTCTTGTTGATCTTCCTCGTCGTCTCCTGGTTGCTCTCCTGCTTGCTTTTCGGGCGACGTTGATGAGAATGTGGAGAGGATGGTAGTGGGCGGCGATGGTGGCATGTGCTCGTCTTCTGAAGAGTCCGAGTCGAGATCGAGTTCTGGTGGCGACGCAGAGTGCGAAGGACTCCTCTGCAGGGCGAGGTGGGTGTAGTCCTCGTCATCGTCCTCCTCATCCTCCTCCATGTCTTGGTCGTAGTTGTAGAATTGGTGCAGCGGTGCTTGCATCGAGTACCGATGAAGGCTGCCGCTGCTGTGCGAGGGTATCCTCCTGAGGGGGACGGCATCGGCCATCTCGACATCCTCGTCCTCGTCACAGTCCTCCTCGTCGTCCTCGCTCAGATCGCTGTCCGAATCGGAATCCGAGTCGCTGTACTCGGCGTCCTCGGCTTGCCAGTCATGCTCGGGCTCCCGGACCACCGTGTCGGCCCATTGGATGTGACGCTCTTCGCTGCGGCTGTTGGAGGCGCCGCGAACGGATTGGTTGAACCATGATTCTTGTTCCCTTTCGGCATCGGCGAGCTCCACCATCAATGAGTCGAGAAGGTTGGCGTGTCCGACCAGGAGGCGGAGGTTGTGATCGGGGCGGGCAGCTTCCGAAGAAAGCTTTGCCCTTGCCTTGTGGGCAAGATAGTATGTTTGTGTGATGGACATCTTCTTGGGCTTGATGAATGAAGTATGCAGAGTACTAATAGTGGATGTGGTAGGATATGTCGATGCACTGGTAGAGAGAGTGCCTACTGGTTGTGGCCTCGATGATGATGGTGGTGGTGGTGATGTTGTGGTTGCGGTGTGTGTGGTGGTGGTGGAAGACATGGTTCTCTTTTTTCTTTCTCCTCGGAGGGCAGGATCGGGGGCAGCT